AATTAGATATACCCAGGGAGCATTTCATACAAAGATAGGCACAATAAAGGACAGAAAATGTATGGAACTAACAGAAGCATAAGATATTTAGAAGAGGTGGCAAGAATATACACAAGAACTATACAAAAAGATCTTAATAACCCAGATAACCATGATGGTGTGATCATTCACCTAGAGCCAGACAACCTGGAGTGTGAAGTCAAGTGGGCTTTGGGAAGCATCACTGCGAAGAAAGCTTCTGGAAGTGATGGAATTCCAGCTGAACTAATTCACATCCTAAAAGTGGATGCTGTTAAAGTGCTGCACTCAACATGCCAGCAAATTTGGAAAATTCAGCAGTGGCCACAGGACTGGTAAAGGTCAGTTTTCATTCCAATCCCAAAGAAAGGCAAGGCCAAAGAATGTTCAAACTACTGCACAATTGCAGTCATCTCCCATGATAGCAAAATAATGCTCAAAATTCTCCAAGTGAGGTTTCAACAGTATGTAAACCAAGAACTTCCAATGTTCAAGCTGGATTTAGAAAAGGCAGAGGAACCAGAGGTCAAACTGCCAACATCTGCTGGATCACAGAAAAAACAAGGGAATTCCAGAAAAACATCTAATTCTGCTTTATTGACTACAACAAATTCACTGACTCTGTGGATCAGAACAAATTGTAGGACATTCTTTGTTTGACCGGGGGGGGGGGGGGTTAATTTACTTTTTTTTTTGAAGGATGATTGTTTTACAGAATTTTGCTGTTTTCTGTCAAACCTCAATATGAATCTACCATAGGTATACATATATAACCCCCCCTTTTTTTTATTTCCACTGTTCTTTTTTTTTTAATTGGAGGCTAATTACTTTACAATATTGTGGTGGTTTTTGCCATACATTCACGTGAATCAGCCATGGGTGTNTTTATTTTCTTGGGCTCCACAATCACTGCAGATGGTGACTGTAGCCTCAAAATTAAAGGACACTTACTCCTTGGAAGAAAAGCTACGACCAACCTAGACAGAAAATAAAGAAGCTGAGCCATTACTTTGCCAATAAAGGTCCATATAGTCAAAGCTATGGTTTTCCAGTAGTCATATCTGGATGTGAGAGTTGGACCATAAAGAAATCTGAGCACCGAAGAATTGATGCTTTTGAACTGTGAGAAGAACTTTTGAGAAGACTCTTGAGAGTCCCTTGGACTGCAAGGAGATTCAACCAGTCAATCTTCAAGGAAATCAATCCTGAATATTCATTGGAAGGACTGATGCTGAAGGTGAAGCTCCAATACTTTGGCCACCTAATGTGAGCCTAATGCACCTAACTGACTCTGATGCCAGGAATAGACCCTGATGCTGGGAAAGATTGAAGGTAGGAAGAGAAGGGGATGACAGAAGATGAGATGGTTGGATGGCATCACCAAGTCAATGGACAGGAGTTTGAGCTAGCTCCAGGAGCTGGTGATGGACAGGGAAATCTGGCGTGTTGCAGTCGATGGGGTCACAAAGGGTTGGACGTGACTGAGTGACTGAACTGAACTGATGGAATATTATATAATTAAGCAATCTTGAATTTCTGTATTGCAAAATTATTGTCCTTTGTCTTTTACTTCATACTTCTAAGAACTTAATGACTATAATTTTGGACTTACTACACCGTCAGCTATTTGGAATCAAACTGAATTTTAGATCAAGCTTAATCATTTCGTTAAGATTTTATTTTACAACTAAAACCTGGTACAATGCACCCATGAGTATAATGTATTTGAAAATAATCACCATCAGGGACACTACACCCTTGAATAGGAAGGGAAATAGCACAATATGGAATTGTTTTGTTAACTTCAGTTTTCAGTCATTTTGTGATACATACCAAAAATACTCGAATAAGCTTTGGAATGTAAAAACACTGTTCTAATGATTTTAATTGTAGTTAACCAATCTATACTTAATATGGTTTGCATTCTTGTTGAGGAATAACATTGTGATAAATAGGTTCTCTGTGTCCTGAAATCTATACAAAGCATTTGGAGACTTGGCACTGATAGTTTGCATTTAATCTTTCTGTGCTCTTGCTTCGCTATCAATAAAATAGGAATAGGGACTGGGGTCTGCGGGGAGACTACTTACGTGTTATATGGACTATGTAATATGAGTAACAAGAGCATGGATAAATATAAGCTGAACGACAACTGTCTTCCACACCATTCTGTCATAGAAGTTCATTGTGAAGTTCACTCTGATGAAAAACCTTGGAAGTTTTGAAGAGAAAATGTAGACTGAGAAGTAGTAAGGAAGGAGCTGTGCAAAAAAAAAAAGAAAACATATATACACACAAAAAAACACCACTGTTTTAGGATAATCTGATACTAGGGGTACACTGTGCAAGTTCCTCGCTGTAAAATATCTTCCCTGATAATAATTGATTTTAAAGTTATTCTCATCTTTTTAGACTGCCTCAACATCCAGCAAGAAGAAGCTCATCTGATTAATGGACATCTTACTTGAAAATGCCAATAATTTATTAGCCACCAGAAAGATAAATTAATAAAATATCTTTCCTTTCACTCTTTTAGCTGAAAATAGCTACTCTGTGAGAATGCAAATACTGATTCAGGGAAGGGAAAGGGTGAGAGGTCCTTTTAGAGCACAGAATCCTTCTGGAATAAGCTTTAATCATGGAGTTCTCTGTGAGGTACTCAAGTAAGATTGCATGTGGAAGCTGGAAAGCCAGGAGAAAGAGAATGCAGATAATGCCAAGGACATATTTTGCCTAGTTTAAAGCCTAAGTTGTCTAGTTGATATTAAAGCCAAGTTAAGTAGCTCTTTTCCTTCATATACAAAGGGTCTCTTATGTTAAGAAAATAATTCAATTAGAATAAATATGTTTCTACAGGAAGTACTATTTTAACATGATGTTGCAAAGAGGAGGCATCATAAACACCAAGCATCTGTTCTTAAAGTTTCCAGTTGCCTATACATATAAAATCCCTTTGAGCTAACCAGAGGTGCTATCAAAATGCTTTACTATGTCTAATTATCAAAGGCAACAAATGACAACAAATGTTTATGTATTCATGGATCTAAGAAAATAGGCTAAAGTTTGATTTTCATAAAAGAACTAAAATCATTTTTCCCCACAAAATCACCAATACCAGCACTACATATTAATTTTTATACAAATGGTTTCCTGAGTTTATTCATAATAATATGTACTTTAGGACAATAGATTGTTCAGTCTACCTGGGCAAATCTGGTGTTTTTTTTCTTTGAGAAAAAAATATTATTACAATATCCTCTCTTTTTGAGAACAACAATAAAACCTCCAAATTTATTATTAAATACTATCAAGAACCATCAACTAGAAAGAAAAGCAATATAAAATAATTGTTCATGAATCCATTAGAAATCAAAGTATTTTAAAGTCTCAAAGAAAGGATTTGCTTTTATTGGTTAAGTATTTATAGAAACCCCATAAAAAAATGTCCCATTCACATCTGCTTTTGTTGCTCTAGAGTTCTAGCCAAAAAGGACACGATTATGCATCCCTACTTGGGTTCCTTCTGCAGAATGAAGGTGTAATGTGAAGCTTTCCCTTATAATAAGGTCGCTCCCTACTACTGTTGTTAAGCCACCGTGTTTGAATTTTCCAGAAGAAAACACAATTATTGGGAAAATCCACTAGCATCTATATCTTTTATACCATTTCAACTTTCACTGAGTGATGAGGAATCATGCTGTTTTTTGCTTATTTCTGACCATGTTCCTTTCATGAAAGGAGTGTATGACACAACCTTTTTGAGCAAACTCATTGAAAAATTAAGATCATCTACTTAAAAAAAAAAAAGCTATTGCTTATGTAAAGACAAAGTTATTTTGTGATCATTTTCATTTTCCAACTTTACTTACTCTAATTCTACTACTACAAAAGCATATATAGAAATTATATCTCTGTTCTGAAAAGTTAAACACCAAAATCACATCTCTAAGTTTGTCATATCAATTCTGATAAGAAGGCATTACAGCACAAACAAGAGGAAAATAAGTCAATATAATGACACAAGTACTTCCAGTAATAAAGCAAAATGAAAGAAAAAGCTGAACTGGGGCAAAGAAATCCACAAGATATGATCTCAGTGTCTTTCTAAATAATATCTTCCACATAATATTAAGACGTTCTTTAATGTCTTTCAACTATTGCAAAAGACATCTCAAAATATGGACACATACTTTTATATATCACACAAATGAAACAGACCTTTGTGTGTGGAATATACATCACTTACATTATAAAGAGAATTATGTATAGTTTCTTTTATTAAATACTGAAGTTACAAGTCTTCTAGCCTAAACTGTACACTTCAGAGCTCAGTAATCACCCCTCTCTGAACTAAACAAAATAAAATACACAGTAAACCGTAAAACAAGCACACATAAGTAGATCACTTATATTCACTAAAGAAAAGTGTAATATCCTCAAGTTTACATTCATGAGTTCTTTCTGTCAGTAGTTGTAGCAGCAGCAGTAGTAGTAACGGTATTTAAAGTAGTAGTAATGGTATTTTCTCCAACAACACAAAAGGATTCTTTCAAATTCAATCATTTAGAGAAAACAATACATACTACGCAGTGGTTCTGAATCATGAAATTTAATAATAGGACCAATTTGGCCAGATCTTTTTATTATAAATATTATTTTAAAATGTGTTCAAATTTTATGCATATCATTAATATTACTTCCTATTTAAAAAGACAGTTTATCTTCTTGAAGTATAACTATTATATAGTATTATCTAAAGTTTACTGAAATGCATTATAACTATATCATGTGTGCTAAGCTCACAAGTTCATTACAGTAATATTTCAACTATATAACCATAGGATTAAAGATAAATATGCTACTCTGTAATTCAAAGCACAGGGAAATAAAAAAAAACAAGAGTGTAGTTCATTATAAAAGGACAGATGATAATTAAATCCAATTGGTTAACTTCAAAGTCAGTTTACATAACATCAAGGTAGTGCCAACACCATATACTTTATTTTCAAAGGTTTAACTATGACCTATTTAGTAGATTATAATACCAATATAATACCTTTGGCTAAAATTTCTTCACTTGTACTACAATTCCATTCGATGTAAAATTTACAGAAGCCTTTATTTCTAGATGAGGCCATTTATGGACAATATACAGGTCTGTCAGCACACATTATCTATGATTTAATTCTTCTGTAAAAACTTTGGCATCAACCATATTAGGATTTCACATAGGAGCACAAATGATTTTTGCTCTGGCCCAAAACTACTATGTTTACATTTTAGTAACTACAGAGAGTCAAATGAATGGAGTTTACACATAATGACAGGCTTCTACGATTTCTTTTTTGCTTTCCTTAAAAAAAAAAATAGACGTCTAACCTTTCAGGATCTAATGTTAAAAAATACTGACATTGTTTGGCATTATACTATTATACTTGCATCTTGACTCTTGGTAATGATTCCCCAAAACATTATTTTACATAACCAGAAATCTGAAAGAAACTTTAGAAGTTAGTATGTAGAGAAGTTGGTAGGGCTTTGTAGACACAAATTATATACTTAAATAAATACTTGGACAACACTGAAAAGCAACATGGTATGAAAATTGTGGACCTACATATGTTTTTTTTTAAATCTCACTCCCCCTTAAAAAAAGGAAGCTTAATCAGAATATTCAAGTAATGTAGTAGAAAACAATGCCTTTGATATACTATTAGACAAAGAGCCACACAATCTTTTCTTCATCCAGTTTGGCTGAGGAACTCTAAAACTTTCAAAGGCCAGTTGATGTTCGCTTTTTCATGCTTCGTCGCTGAGCTAAGCTTGAAGCAGCAACAGGCTCTAGGACTGGTTGAAAAGTCTTGTGAGTCAGGGCAGAATATGTGGCGACCACTGTTCCCTAAAATAATGAGAAATATTACAAATTGAATAACAATCTCTGAAGGTAAGAAAACTTCCACATTGTATCATGAAAAATTTAACTAGATTAGAACTTTTTCCCCCAGGAAAGTAATTGAGAATCCATAATACTTACATTGATGCTCCTTTGATTAACATCTGACTACTTATATATTTTTATTTCAATAAATATGCTCCTTACAAATTTTTAAAACACTAAAATGTATTTTTTTTCAGTCTTTCAAAACTCATAAAATTTGCTTTTAAATATCTTTTTAAATTTATTTTTCATAGGAATTGTATATATTTAAGGCATACAACATGTTATCTTGATATACACAGTAAAATGACTACAGTCAAGCTAATTTAATATATGTCCTCTTCACATAGTTATCATTTTTGTGTGTGATAAGAGTACCTGGCAACTACTCTTAGCAAATTTCCAGCATTCAGTATATTATTATTTATTACCTGTACTTAACATCAGGTTTCACACTAGACCTCTAGGCTTACCCATGCTACATAACTGTAACTTTGTATACCTTGACCAATATCTCCCCATTTCGAACTTCTCCCTGTCTACTGGTAACCACTATTCTACTCTCTGCTTTCACATATTTGTTTTTTTTTTTTAGACTCCACATATAAGAGAGATGATGTATTTTTTTTCTTTCCGGGTCTACAGTATTTCACTTATCATAATGTCTTTGGGTTCATCTCTGTTGTGGCAAATGACAAAGATCTTCTTTTAAAAAGTTGAACAATATTCCATTATATATAACATATTCCATACATACACACCCCCACCCCAAATTTCTTTATTCTCCGATAAATTTGAACTCCCATGATCATTCTAACAAGATTCAAAATGGCTAAGATATGAAAACACACCTTAGTATCCATCAACAGATAAATGGATAAACCACTAAGCTTCAAAATCTAGGCTCACTGTCTATAAGTATGGAAACTTGCACCAATGGCTATTAATTTAGGAACCAACAGACATCATTTTTTTTCCCATATGAAACCTGAATTTAGTCTGCACTAAGCCCCAGTGTATCTTAAAGCAAACCAAATATAATCAAGAAAATTTTATGTATCATCAGTAAGGCTGTATGTAAAGAAGGCTGTTAGTTTAAAAAGCAAGCCAAAAGAATCTATAAATATACTTTAAAAAATAAAGACACTATAAAGTAACTATATATGTCATCATTGAATGGCATGCAAGGCATAGCATTTAGAAGATGCTTAAAAGTATGTCGGTTTTACCTTAACAACATGTGATGTCCTATTTCTATTTGGCTGATCATCTGGCAACTGATCTCTGTGGGTTATCCACGAGTGTTTCAATACTTGCTCTGTAGTGTACCGCTGCTGTGGGTCCATATGTAGCATATGAGAAAGTAAATCCTAAATTGAAATGGAAAAAAAAAATATATATATATATACATACATACATACATACAAGAAACTACATACTATATATCATTAAAGGTTTTAGTAAAATACATAATTTCCCATTTCCTCAAAACATGAACATATTGACAGTTTGGAATCTGTTTAATTTGACCTGTCACTAGGGGAAAAATTTCCATATAACTGCACAGTTAACTGTTAAAAGAGAATGTTGAAACATACTTTTAAAAACATAGCATATACTTATTTATCATTCTAAAATGAAGAAATATCAATTTAGTGGAAGTGGAATGTGATCAGTAAGGGAGAAGGAAAATGTAAAGCATCAGGAGCTAATACCAGACTTCACTAGACAATCAAGAGGATAAAGGACCCATTGATCTTTGCTGGCAATCTGGGCCCGAAAGTACAAGGTTATCTGTATACAGACACAAATTCATAGAAGGGAGAGTCTCATGTTGATAATATACTCAGTAACTGATGGTTTTCTGTATAAAATACTAAAGAAAGCAAAACATGAATACAAGGTTAGCAGCTTACTGTTAACATAGCAGTAGTCAGAATATCATAAGTTTTTCATCAAAGTAAATGTGAATATGCTTATTTTCTCTATGCTGTAATATAAACTTCTGTAATATAATCTCATAGTAAAATAGAATTTTAAATCTATTAAAAGATATAACATTTAAAATTAAACAATCTCCATAAGCATCTATCATAGAAAGGAGAATTCAAGTCTCCTTAACAAGCATCTTCTAAAATAGAAACAAAAGTATTTGTTAAATTATTATCAATAGCAGAAGCAATGAGAAACTAAAGACTATGTAGTAATACCAGAATGTGAAGAATAGTGTAACTGATTGAAACTATGTAAAGGAGTAGAACAACCAATCAAAAAACTATTGGAAAAAGAATGTATAAACAGAAATAAATTTAAAATAATATTAAAAAGAATACAACAGTGAATTATATAAATAAAACAGACATAAATGAAAATCATAAAAATGATTAAAGTTCTAAGGACTTCTGATTCTGGCCAAGATGTAAAACTAGGAACTGAATTCACCCCCAACCCCCGCCTGAAACTCAGCGCCTCCAAAAAAAAAAAGCCCATAAAATGTAAGAAACAACAGTTTTCAAGAGATCAGATATTAGGCAATGAAGAAAAGTAATCCCTAAAAGATGGGAAACAAATCAAGTAAGCCCTATGATTGCTCAAGCTTAGAACCATGAAAAGAGTTTTCATGATGTCAGGTAGGTAAGGAAAATTCAGGTAGAGCCTGGCAGATTCCCTGTGTTAAAGAGACAGAAGTGGGAATCAGGGGCAGAGAGAGAACCCTTGTGGGGGTCTCTTTCAAGTGTTTTCATTGCAAACCATATGTGGTTAAAAACAACAACAACAACCAAACAAAACAGAAGTCATGGGGGGAAGCATATGCAAGGATTAGAGGGAAAAGGGAGTCCATGTAAGGTGAGGTATAGTGCCTATTCCCACCAGTCAGACGGGAAAACCTCAAATTCATGAAGTATTTGTTAGAGAAATGGAAAGAAACCTGCTTGAGTAGTGGTGACTATTCCTAGGTTAAACACTGCTCTAGTCCTGCCTAAAATATCTTAAAAGGAAAACCCAGAAGTAACACATTGTTTCCCCTAATTTAACTGCGGTCCAGAAAACAGTTAAAGATTAGCAATTCAAAAGCATTTAGCACTCACCGAGGTAAAATTCACTATGTTGTGCTTCTTACCCAAAATTATAAGGCATATAAGAGAAGGAAAATAGAATGCATAATGAAACAAAAATCAGTCAAAATTGACCCACAGCTGACATATATGTTCAGAAGTTAAGTAGAGAGACATAGAAGATATAAAACAAATAAAACAAATGAAACTAAAATGTGAGACCAAAAAAAATGGACCAAATAAGATTAAAGGCACATTTATTATGGCAGGTAAAAAGATTGGTAAAGACACAGCAATAGACACTATAAAAAAGTATAAAACAAAAAAGCAAAAGAGCAGAGCATCAGTGAGCTATGGGACAACTTCAACTGAAAAAGTACACAAACACAATTGGAGTCTCAGAAGGTAAGAGGGAAGAAAAGAATGTTTGAAGGAATAATGCCAATAAAATTACCAAATTTTATGGAAACTATGAATCCACAGATCTAAGAAGCTAAGTGAACCCCAAGTACAAGAAATAAAGAAGATTACATCAAGGAACATCAAACCAAATTGCTCAAAACCCAAGACAGAAAATTTTAAAAGCTGAGAAAAGAAGAAGGCTTGTTAAATACAATGAAACAAAGATAAAAATAAAAGCCCAATAGGCTGCCCTATGCATCAAGCTGCCCTGAGATATGACCCTGCTCACCAGTGGTGGTGTGCCAGTCCTAGGTTTCCCCAGGTCCTGCAGACAGCCACCCTGGCCCCTGGCACTACCCACGAGCAAGCCAGCACCAGCTCCAGGACCACTGGGGCCAAACAGACAGTCATGCCAGGACTGAGCTCTGCTCAACAGTGGGCCAGCAACAACCACATGACACAGGGCCTGGCAGCCAACTGGACTGGAAGCCAGCCTGGCCACCAGTATGCCCGGAGTAGGTGGTTTTATAATAAGAGAAGGACCCACACAGTACACATATGGGTCATGTGTAGGATATGTAGCTCTGGTGAATGGAATGGAGTATGCTGATTGACACCACAGGCTATCTGCTATGTAATTCCATTTTTTTAAGATGAGCAAACATAACTGACCTACTTGACAAATAAAAATAGATACAGAGAACTGGGCAAAATGAGGAGACAAAGGAATATGCTCCAAACCAAAGAACAAGATAAAACTCAGAAGAACTAAACACAGTAGAGGAGAACAATCTATCCAACAAAGAATTCAAGGTAATGATCATAAAAATGCTCAATGAACATGGGAGAATAATGGATGAACATGGAAAGACGTCTAACAAAGAGTTACAAAATATAAAGAAGAACCAAATGGAACTGAAGAATACAATAACTGGAAAAATAAACTAGAAGGAATCAAGAGTACATCACATGATACAAAGAAACAGATAAGTGAACTGAAAGATAGAATAATGGAAACCACCTAAGCTGAACAGAAAAAAAGGAATTTAAGAAATGAGGATAACTTTTTGGAACAATACCAAGAGTAATAATATATGCATCATATGGGTCCTGGAATGAGAAGAGAGAAAGGCACAGAGAATTTATTTGAAAAAATAATAGTTGAGAATGTCCCCTCCCTGGAAATGTAAATGGACACCCAGGACAAGAAAGCAACAGAGTCCAAAACAAGGTGAACCAAGAGAGACTTTCACCAAGCCTCACAATAACTAAAATGGCAAAATTATAGATGGAGAATCTTAAACATGGCAAGAGAAAAGCAACCAGTTATATACAAGGAAATTCTTGTATATACATAAGACTTTCAGTTGACTTTTCAGCAGACCCTGCAAACCAGGAGTGCCACAATATATTTAAAGTGATGAAAGGACAAAAAATACAACCAAGACTACTATACCCAGCAAGGCTATCTTCAGATCTGAACTGGAGAGAATGTTTTACATAGAAGCAAGGACTAAGAGAGTTTAGTACCACTAGACCAACAGCTCTCCAAGAAATGCTAAAGGGATTTCTCTAAGTAGAAAAGATAAGACCCAAACTAGAAATATAATAATCACAGAAGGTAAAATCTCACCAGTAAAGGAAAATGTAAAGATCAATCACTTATAAAAGTACAAGGAAGGTTAAAAGACAAAAGTGGTAAAATACACACATAAACTAAGAAATACACACAAAACACATGCAAAATATGATGCTTAAAAACATTAAAGGTAAGAGCAGTAAAAATGCAGGGTTTTTAGATAAGTTCAAACTTAAGAGATAATCAACTGACAACAATCATATATATTGTGAAACAAAAAAATCATGGCAAGAAAGCAAAAATGTGTAATAAATGACACACACATACACAAAGGAGAGACAGAGATAGAGAAAGGAATCCAAATATAACACTAATTATAGTCATCAAATCACAAGGGAAGACAGCAAAAGATGAAGATAAAAGGACAAAAACAACCAGAAAAAAATTGGCAAGATAGCAGTGAGCACCTACTGATAATTATTTAAAATGTAAATGTTGCAATCAAAAGACATAGCAAGGGGCTGAATGACTAAAAAACAAGATCCATCTATATGCTGACTCTAAGAGACTCACTTCAGATGTAAACACTGACAAAAACTTAATGTGAAGGGATAAAAAAAGTATTTTATCCAGTTGGTAACAAAAGAAAGCTGGAAATTCCAGAAAGAAGGCAGAGGAGTAGGTGGATGTGGAGTACATCTTTCTCCACAGATGCATCAAGAATATACCTTCAGATGCAGAAGATCTCACACAACACCAGCTGAGAGCAGGCAGGATCCCCTGACCACTAGAAAGGAATACACAAATTCACACAAATATCAGAAGGATGAAGGAAGGAAGGGAAAAAGAGGAGAGTGAGCAGGACTGGACCTGTACCCAGTGGGTGTAGGAATTGAAGGAGGGGTCAGATCCCCACATCAGAGCAATTGTTTGGGACAGAGGAGAAGCATTTGAGGCTGTGGGAGAGTGGAACAGCTGATCTGTGACAGTCTGAATGGAGTGAGAACCACACAGACAATCCTTGCTGCAACACAACATTCCCTGGACAGGGACCCAAGTCCCCTGGAACACATGGTAGTGGGGAACTGGGGTGTAGGGATTGGAAACCAATCCCAGGGCAAGGGCTGCTGTGATTGTGGTGAAAAGGCCTGAGGGGAAGTAAGGAGGAGATTGTAGTGGGGAATGCCTTTGGAGGAAAGCTGGGCAGCCATGGAGGCAAAGTGATACTGCTGAGTAATGTGCAGACAGTGGAGCCATCAATGTAGCCTCTCTCCCCTCACATGCCAGTGCTGGCAGCTGACTAACAAAGACCCCAGAGATGGTGGCCCTTTAAGTGCTTGACAAGCTGAGCAATAAATATCCCAACCTGGGAGACCCTTGA